CTCTTTTTTATCAATACAGACACTAAAAAACAGCATTAACTTTGCTGCACTTTTTTAAAGCTAAATAAAAAAAAGAGATTAATTTGATGCATTCATGGGTAAAATTATGTAATACCTTCATTTGATGTCTGATCCAAAAATACCTGCTCTTTTGAAGAACATGTAGCGGATTTTTTTCTCTTCTATGTGTTACAGTCGTACGTAAGAAACAAAAAAAGTGGAATAAGTAAAAAAAAAAAAAAAAAAAGCTAAAAACAAACAAACAAATGAAATCTGTAATGATGCAATCTAAGTGGTAAAAATCAAACTTAAATTTCCATCAACCCAACTGGGATGTTTTATGTATTCTAAATATGGAAAAAAGGAGAATTTGATTCATTTGAAAAAAATATATAAAAATAAATAAATCATACTCTTAAAGAAAAAGGGAAATCCGTTTGTTACATATCAACATAGAAAGTAAGCAAAAGATTATTTTCAGTGTTTCAAAGCTTAAAAATAAACGATTAAATTGAAGTGTCTTTTTACAGCACTACCTGTGAGTTCTGTACATCCTGTGTCTTTAAATGGAAAAACCAGGTGAGAAACATTCTGCAATGTTCTTCAACAAAAAAACTAATGTGTAACCTTAAAGTCTATTAAAGGCTTACGGCTACTCTGTGGTTTATTCAATTATGTGAATTTAAGACTTCTTAACTTTGTGGCGTTGCACCCGAAAATAGCCTCAGTGAACAACCTTAACAAAGACGCAGTTTGCTCGAAGAGGAACACTGTTCAGACTAGTCATTTCAAAGAAAAAAAAACAAAAAAAACAGAGAGGACCGACTCTGCCAGAAAACGAAAAGAACCAGTTGATTACAAGCACTGTGACATTCTGGATGCCATCCACAAAGTGACTCGTTATATCGATGGATCTCGACTGCATTCCCAAAATGGCTGCCAAATATGTTCAACTGTGTGAGACAAAGTACAACAATGGATTTCAGTGCAAGTCTTATTTTTTTTATGTTTTTATTTTATTCTATTTTTTCACACCACAGCAAAATAAACCAAAAATGAAAACGTTTGGAATTCCAGAATTAGTTTGGACTCATCGGATAAGGTTAAACAGGGCATTTGAGTAACATTTTTATTAGAATTTTATCAGAGCATGCTTTAATTTACAGCAAAAAATGTAGACTTCAAAAAGTTGAATTCATTTTTTTTCTACAACTTTGTCGTCTCCGATTATTTCCTCTTTGTGCTGTTATAACCCAACTCCAAAATGAGCTTTAAAATGGCTAAATAAACGTCTTTAAATGTAATAATGTAAGATCTTGACCACCTGTATTACCAAGTGAAAGCCTAAAGAGAGTGACTGAATATTGTGAGTAAACCAAGAGCCAGGGATCCAGCAATGTCGAGGCGTCCAAGTGACGTTTCTCTCTCGTCTGTTTGGGCAACAGTGCCTCTTCAACAGCACTTAAAAAATAGTTTGGAATGCTGCTCTGCCATCTGCGTGCAAGTACGGTACCAGATGATTGTTTTCTGTCCTCTCTTTTATAAAGGACTTTATTACATAGATAATCTCGTTTTTTTTTGTTGTTTTTTTCAATTGAGTAAAATCCAAATGATCAGGTGGGAGAAATGTGTGAAAGTGTGACAAATATCTGTCAAAAGCATTTCCAAACTAAAAAGGTCTGTTAACACTTTATGACAGTTTCTTGGTCAACAATGAATTGGAGAAGGTGAAACGAGGGCAACCAGTGAAATAATATTTAAAGCCAAAACAGAAAAAGTGGGATTGATTGCTGGGTGTGGATTTTCTGATTACCACATCCCAACCTTCCTCCTCTTTGTAGGTGTACAGTTCCCTCTGCATGGGTTTGCTTCATGTAATAATGGCTTTCCTTCAACTGCACGCAGACTCTTAAATATTCATTAGTCAGGGGTGGGTCTTTTATACTGTGACACTTGAAAGAGGGCAAAAAGCAACAGCTCAAATAGGGTGAATTTAAATGCCAGGTCGGAATATAAGGATAAACTAAAGCTGCAACAGTCAATCAGCCTGAAATGGCAATCTGCCGATGTTTATCCAACCAGCTGTGATCAATGTTCAAAGACAAAAAATCTGAATTTGCTTTTTCTCCTCATTAGGTGCACTAAAAAACAAAGACTTTCAGCCATTTTAGACTCTAAACCAATCAACCTAATGCATTCTCGACAAAGTAGTTATTTTATTGTAATAGGGGAAAAAAATAAAATAAAATTCAGGGTCATATACTTTTAAGGTTTGCTATTTGATATGTTCAATATGGCTCCCCACACAGGGAACAATTCTGTCATGGGGCGACCTAAGTAATTATAAAAAAAAAAGGAGGAACCTTCCAATCAATAATGAATGGAGACTCAAATATTGTGCATTGTTTCAGCACTGAATAAAAGTATGTGCATAAAAGTTTGTTCATGCAGTCGTTTGTAAAACTAAAGGATTATGTCTCAATCTTTAAACAAATCTTTGGTCATAACTATGTTAAAAACCATAACAGGTTACCGGGTCCAACCCAAAACTAGATTATTCTACAGTGACCATGATTTTTTTTATTTTTATTTAATTAAATGTGAAAAACTTGAATTAATTTAGTAAAAACACATGAGAGCAGATTATTAAATCAAGTTAGATTGAGGAAATATTGAAAACAAGAAAATACAGAGAACCTGGATAACCCTGGAGTGAATTGTTCTCCTAATTTAAGGTTCTTTCAACAATTGTTTGGCCGGTGAGAGCAAAAGATCTAAAATGGAAGATTTTTTAATTCCATTCTCTCCAATTCAAACTTGTCAAAGAGATATAGTGGGGGGAAAAACAACAACAACAAAAAAACGATTTGCATGCAATTCATGCAATATGCATGCAATTCGTGCAAGATCCACTGCTGTATGATTTCAAAATTAGGCCAGGCTTCAAATATAAGAGCTCACCTAGATCAACAGCACAAAATAATTTGCTGTGCACATCCCTTTATTTTGTGTTGGACTCAATTCAAAAATGTGCACCATATTTTTGTTGATTCTATTATCCTTTTTTTCCCCATTTTAAACCAAGAATTCCTAAAGAAAACCGAAAATCAAGGTCGATCAGGAAACGCCTGATTGGCGCATAAATAAGAAACCAAGATGAACCAAAGTGGGATGAAACGGGGCACCTGATACTCACAATACAAACACTCCCACAGCACGTAATGGCTGACTCTACTCCAGCAGCTACTGTACGCCTCTTTGTTGAGTGTCTGACATTAAGTCACGATGGCGAGGGCTTACTTACAGACCAGACAATGACCCTTCAAGTCCTCAAAAGATACACGAAACCAATGCACAGGTGTATTTTTATGCTTTTCTCTCCTAACTAACCTACATACATACATTCACACTATCAAATATCTGTGCTTTTAGTCATGGGACAGATTTACAAACTGTCTTCATTTGTGCTCAGCCGTGCAGTGCGCTCAGCGCGTCCATTCAGAAAATAAACCATCCAGGGAGAATCCTGCGATTTGCAAACCAGCAAATCCTATAGGACTGCAACCCCGTTTTACGTTGTGGAGCCACATTGTGAATGAAAGCGGAGAGAGGGAGTGATCACAACAAAAAAATCGCGAAAATAAAAATAAATAAATAAAAAAGCTGATGGACGTACAATCGCGTTGTAGAAAAACATACACACAGGTGCACATCTGCGCATTTACTGTGCAGAAATGCGAGGCATGACTTTAAAAAATATATAAGTTTATCCCCTCGGATGCATGCATATGAATGATGTGCATGCATCTATTACACTGTATTCTTTTTTTTTTATCTGACAAAGCCGAGCGCTTTGGGACAACATCTGCTCGCCTCGCACGTGCACGCACGCTCGAGCGCAGATAAAGATGAGCGAGACTGACATGTTGCTCGGGATAAACTCCCCGTGACCCTCCTCTGTGCATTTTTAAAGTGCACTTTTTTATTATTATTTATTTATTTCCCTTAGCGTGCAAACGATACAATAGTTTTTTAAACTTTCTTTAAGAGCGCCATGATGGGCTGCAGATGTAGGGCAAAGGAATCACGAGTTATTCGCATGAATATTTCGCCATTGAAACGTATCAAAAGGCACTCCTGCAACTTTAATTACGCGGGAGCGTTGCTGCATATCTCAACTGAAAGCTATGAATTAAAATATTTATTTCATAAGAGGAAAAAGCGGAACAGTCAGACATCAGTGTTCATTCCTTTTTTATATAAACATGGCACCTAAATTCACTATTGCTGCATCCTGGAAACCCAATAATAGCCCTTCCTTCTCCTTTCCAAATCCAATCCAGCAGGCTGGATGCATCACTTTAATAATAAGTGATAAGCTTTACATAAGTAAAAGCGATGAGTTCAAAAAAAGGTTGAAATATATATTTAGAGTAACGTTGAATAATAAAAACCAAGCTGACTCAAATAGTTGACCTAAAAGCCCCCAAATGCGCACGTCAGGCTGCCTGCCTTCAGTTGCTTTAAGTCTCTCCGTGTGTAAAATGTGAGCCAGCATCGCGTATAGGGAGAAAATCCGACCTTTGGACACACTTTGGACTCTTCGCAAGTGTCCCCACATGACATTTGGAAAGTAAAAAGAAAGGAGGCTCGAACGAAAATGACAGATGGGAAACTTGCGTCATACCAAGAGAACGCGTTTTTTGGTAGTCCGAAAAGAAAACTCGATATACGAGCGACTCCTGTAAAGGGCGTTTTATTTACTGAAGAAAAAAAAAATAATGAGTTGATACTGAAACCTATTGGTGTTTCATTTGGTCCGTAAAGCCAGTCCTAACTACATGGAAGTCCCTTGGATTCCACGCGTGTGCGCCCTTAAACTCACCTATCAGTTTTATTCTATAGCATGCCTTTCCACGAAATGTAATATCCTCCGAGCCGTTATAGCAGCCGGACCAATCCCCCCTTTTCCTACTTTTTTAATTATATTTATTTCTTACCTGCACTTTGAAGCTCGTTCAAAAAAAAAGTGTCGACAGTGTTTCCCCGTTTTTCCCCCCGACGAAGCGCGTTTACTTTGCTTTTCTTCTTTCTCAGTATGTTCCTTTACTTTGTTTCATTTCTCACTTCCATCTTCTTTTCATCTCATCAATAAACACACGCTGCAGCCTACCTTCACAGAAGAGCTAGGTTCAAGTGTGCCCTCCCATTTTTTAACTATACATCGAGTACTTTGAGGGGCGGTTTGGTGTTGGAGGGAGAGGGGAGGGGGGAGGGTGTAAGCCTGGGACATAGACATAGAGGAGTAGACGCCCCATTGGCTTCGCTGTCCAGTAAAATTATACGTCAGCGCATCCGCCATATTAGGAAGGGCAAAGAGAATCTCAAATAGATGGCAAAATGAATAACACCTTTAGGAGGGAATATTAGGGTCAGGCTAGAGATTTTCTTTATTTTTATTTCGAGAATAAAGTCGTAATATTGTGAGAATGAAGTTGTAAAATTTCTAGAATAAAGAATTAACATTACAAGAATAAAGTCGTAACATTACGAGAATAAAGTCACAATATATTGACAATAAAGTCATAACACTGTGAGAATAAAATAGTAAAATTGCTAGAATAAAGACGTAACATTACAAGAATAAAGTTGTAACATTACGAGAATAAAGTCATAATATATTGCGAATAAAGTTGTACCATTTTGAGAAGAAAGTCGTAACATTATAAGAATAATGTTGTAACATTGTGAGAATAACGTCATAATATATTGACAATAAAGTCGCAAAATTATGAGAATAAAGTCATAATATTGTGAGATTGAAATCATAAAATTACTAGAATAAATACGTAACATTACAAGAATAAAGTTGTAACATTACGAGAATAAAGTCATAATATATTCAGAATAAAGTCGTAACATCACGAGAATAAAGTTGTAACATTATGAGAATAAAGTCGTAACATTGTGAGAATGAAATCGTAAAATTACTAGAATAAAGACGAAACATTACAAGAATAAAGTTGAAACATTACAAGAATAAAGTCATAGTATATTGAGAATAAAGTCGTAACATTGTGAGAATGAAATCGTAAAATTACTAGAATAAAGAGGTAACATCACAAGAATAAAGTCGTAACATTACGAGAACAAAGTCATAAGATATTGAGAATAAAGTCGTAACATTGTGAGAATGAAATCGTAAAATTACTAGAATAAAGACGTAACATTACAAGAATAAAGTTGTAACATTACGAGAATAAAGTCATAATATATTGAGAATAAAGTCATAACATTTTGAGGATAAAATATATTACGAGAATAATGTTGTATTTTGTGACAACTCTTACAAGAAGCACTTTCATGTGAAGTTATACTTTGGCATACACCAGCATCAAATTGGGCAGTATGTCAAAGTGGAATCAGGTTGCTGTTTGGTGGTGCTGGTCGAACGTCATATGCTGGTTGGAGCTCGAAGCTTTCTTTCTGAAACGAGTTGTGTTATGATTACTTCATTTTGCCTATTTTTCAACTTTATTGTAATAATATTACGACTTTATTCTTGTTATATTACAACTTTATTCTCAAAATAAAATAAAAATATCTAGCCTAGCCCTAATACTCAGTCAGACACATTAAAGTTTACGCTTATCTTTTTAATTGTCAGTTAATGAAAATGATTTAAATTATATTCTAAAAAAACTGTCAACAAAACATTGTAAGTAGATCTGAGAATTTGGGAAGACAGAAGAGCAGCACATCATACTGAATGTGTGCTAGAAATGAGGGGTGTCAATTTATGGGATTTATGTTGGTATATAACATCCCACAGCAAACAGCACCCTTTTAGATAAAACACTCATAATATTGAGTTATTTGTAAGAAAAAAGAAACTCACCAGGTAAACAATACGATAGAGTTTTAGGGCAAAAGTGAGGGAAAATGTAGCCTACTCACCTCTTATTCACCAATTCACTAAAATAGAAATGCCGAAAACAAAATGAAAATGTCAAGAATAAAATTGAAATGCAGTACTTAGAATAAAGTCAAACTGTCAACAAAAATATTAACTTTTTGTTGATAGCTTCTGACTTTATTCTTGACATTTCAACTTTACTGATTTGGTGAGGAAGAGGGGAAAATACCCCTATGGCAAATTTTATTCCACACTGTGGCCTTAATACTCCATTGTAGGTACATCTTTGTAGAGTATTCTCTTTTTTGTTGTTGTTGGTTTTTATTTTCTTTCACTTTGCCACACAGAACAAAAAAGTCACGATGATTTATTTACCAATACCTTTAAACAAAGAGCTGTTACCTTTTTTTCTGGTGCCCTTACAAGATATGCCACTTACAATATGGCGGAGATACCGCCGTACGAAACGAAGGCTGATGCGACGTCTATGTCATCCTATGTCTATGGGCAGGCCCGAATTTTCAGTCGAAGCTGCCATTGGAAGCGCAGCGCTGTGTCTTGGGTTGGAGCAGGAATCCGTCAACATTGAAGCGGCCCAATCGCAGGGCGGAGGGGAATCACGGTGGGACCATTACACTTCTCTGTGGGAGGTGTAGTGATAGTACTCCACTAATTTAAGTTCTTTTACCACACAAACAGCGACTCTCTCTCTATATATATATATTTATTTATCCAAGGATTCTTTAACCGAATAAGCATTACATTTTTGCAGAAGTCATATACTGAACATAGAATGGATTCATCACTTCCTTCGCAAATGTGAATGAACTCTTAAAATCAGGATCAAAAGGGAGCAGGAGGGTGTGAGGGGGGTTGTCTACGTCCATCATTCGTCTGAACTTCTTATTGGTCGAAGGCGCTGGCTGTACAGTAAGTAAGCTTCTCCAAGGGCGCTGATTGGACAGCGGCGCCCGTCAATCAAACATCGACGAACAACATGCTAGATTGTCTGCTGTGCTTCTACTTTCTACGCATTTCTATTTTCTCATTTATTTATTTTTTAACGTCCCGAGCTGACCTCGGGTTTGCGAGCTCAGGGGAGGTGGGGGGGAGAACAAAATGGTGTCGGTTCACCAGTGGCCAATCAGATTTGGTTGAACCGCCTCTCTTTTTGTTTTGTGCTGTCATTTTTGGTAGCTTTGAGATACATTCTGGTTGGTGTGTGGGAAAAAAACAAAAAACAAAAAAAAACAGTGTCTGGTCATGTGGGATCCCCTCCGCCCTAATGGCCCCCTCCTTGTCTAGACAATGACAGGTGTGTGTGTGTGTGTGTGTGTTGCCCAGATTTGAATAATGAACCACAAAAAAGGGGGGGGGGGATAAGCTACTTTGAATAAACTTATTACATGCAATAAAAACACACCTATAGTAAAAAAAAAAAAAAAAAAAAAGTGACGGGTTTGAATTTCTATTTTTATTATTTTTTTTCAGCAGAGAGGTCAACTGAGGTTATTGCTCCACCGGGTCAAATCATCCATCCGGGGCCTCACTTGGCTCCAAGCAGAGCTGTCCTCTTGAACTTCGCAGTCCTCCAGCTGTACAAGAGACAGAGGTGTCGCTTCCGACCAGTGCCATCTCCCATTGCCCTACGGGACACGGCTATGAGAGAGCACGCGCCGTAGTGAGCACGTCCCTGTGTTGACTGTGCGCGCCATCTGCAGGCCTGCTTGGGGGATTGATGCACCGCGGGTTCAACGGAGGACACCCCCCTCCGTCACTGCTTTGACCTACATTAACCAGGAACACCGCTGCCCGGCCCTAATGCGATGCTTTGAAATCCCTCTGTAAATCACCTGGGCCCGCACGAGCCCACAAGATGGATTTTAATATCAATTAAGCGTCAGGATTCATTTCTGGGATCAGGACATGTAAAGAAGAGCACGTCAGCGTTTCTAAAGTCGCTCAACCGGCTGCCTGTGCAAGGGAGGTTTCACCATGCTATGGACAGTTTGTCTGCCAAACTTTCTTTGTATACTTTAAAAAGCTTAAAGGGACACTATGCAACATTTTTCAGTTAATTAATGTGTTCCATAACGTTTTGGATGATTAAATGAGTCATTTCAGGTTGAACAAAGGTATTCTCGGCCGCCCTGGTGGTCTGTGGGGGAAATACTGCACTTGCAACTGCAGGAGCACCGACCCGCACCCACAGGCTCAGAAGTCTCGTGAGAGTCAGTCTTGCTTTACGGCGAGAACTGCTACACGCCCCCAGTTAAAAGCATTCTCGTTGCTAGCACAGTGGCGATCTTTGTGCAGTTATGCCACGTTCACGCAGCAAAAGCAGCAAAATCGGGTCTGCTGCTTCCTTTTTGCTGCTTGTACCAGTTAGTTCTGACGCGTGGCTGAAGCAGCTTTGCTGCTCCGGCTGTGTCTGAGGCGCGTTGGGCGGAGCTTCACTATCCTTTCTCTGCCTTGCAGCTATATTTGCTGTGATCAGTGGGAATAAAGTAGTTTTAATGTGTTTAAGTGAGAAAATACACCTGAAAACGTAATCAGTGCAGTCAGTTCATTCAGATTATTATCCTGCCTTCAATATTTTTTCTGTCGGAGCCGCTCAGACCCCCACATACCAGCGGGGCGCCAACAGTATGGATCCCTTCATCAGCAGCGGTTCACCGCGGCAGCTGGTAGGTGTTTTTCATCTAAATAATCCAAACTGCATATTCTGCCGGCAGATTTCTGCATTTTAAGTTAATTTAGGCGTCAATAAACTGTTTAAGAGGAGAGATCATCAGCGCTGTGTCTCTCTCCCTGCGTTAAACGCACCCGACGCGCTGCTTCAGCTGCTCAGACGTGCTGCGCCTGGTGCTCAAAACGCGCCGCGGGACCTTTTGCTGCGCCTTGACGCGCGTCAACCATTGACTTTGCATGTAAACTCGCTGCTTCTGTCGCGCCAGCTACGTCCAGTGTGAACGCAGCGTTAGTCATTCGCTGCTAAGCTCAAAACAACCGCGCCTGGCTTGACGGAGAAACCAGGAGAACAGCTGTGCATATTTACGACAGTGCACTTTTACTTTCGCCCTCTGGAGGGAGCCTCGCTGGTAAATCAACACCGGTTGCATAGTGTACCTTTAAAGCCTGGAAGTGTTTTCAATAAAAGAAAGAAAAGAGAGCCATTACTGGAATAAATAAAAAAAAAAAAAGGAAAGTAAAGTAGGCTGTGCCAATCTGTCTCAGCTATTCAAGTATTTTTACCCCAATGATTAGGTAAATTTTACAACTATATATCTTTTGAATGGATGAATATATCTGTTAG